TGAACTTTCGGATTCATCGTATCGGCCTCAGTGCAGACATTGAGAAGGCATTTCTACAGATATCACTGAGACTGGAAGATCGTGACGCTCTGCGATTTTTCTGGTACGAACGAATGCCAACGAAGCAAGAGCCGAACCCTCCTGTAGATGTTTGGAAGATGACAAGGGTTCCTTTCGGAGCGACCAGTAGTCCGTTCCTTCTCGCAGCCACGCTACGTCACCACTTGTCGATAACAGAGGACTATCCGGAAACAACGAAATCACTAGCCGAAAGACTCTACGTCGATGATCTTATCACCGGAGCGAACACCGAGGAAGAGGCGGAACAGTTCTATCGACAAACATGACATGTCATGAAGCTAGCCGGAATGACAATGCGGAAGTGGAACACAAATTCTACGGAGCTGCAGCAGCTATTCAACAAGGAAGGAACCGGGTGTGTTCTAGATCAATTAGAGTGTACCACCCCGAGCGTTTCTCAAGTGTTAGGACTTGTCTGGGACAAAGACAGCGATTGCCTGGCGTTCTCTATGGGGCCTGTTTTGGAATTCCTAGACCGGAACTGCAACACGAAACGATTCAGTCTCCAGGCATCATCTCGCATTTATGACCCATTAGGACTCCTTTCCCCAGTCACCGTGACAGCCAAGCTGATGTTCCAAACCCTCTGGGAACTGGGTGTCGACTGGGACGCGCCACTACCTGAAGAGGTTCAAACAAGATGGACGCAGTGGCATACAGCACTGCACCACTTAACGAAAGTAACAGTACCCCGAAGGTGCGTTGAGCTTCCTGAGGATGACCGAAATGAAGTCCACATATTCACAGATGCCAGTCCCAAGGCTTATGGGGCTGTGGCGTACCTGTGCACGCAGACTGCACCAATGAGGGTGACTTTGGTTTTGTCCAAGACCCGGGTGGCGCCGCTAAAGAAACTTTCTCTCCCAAGACTTGAACTGATAGGAATGGTGATAGGGGCACGGCTAAAGGACTACCTTACTAGGTCGTTGAACCTACAAGTTGCCAGCTGGTACCTCTGGACAGACTCAACAATCGCACTACATTGGGTGCGAGGTTCTGCTCAGCAGTGGAGCCCTTTGTGGCCAATCGAGTATTGGAGATCCAACAGCTGACTGATCCAGAGCTTTGGAACCATTGTCCTGGACTAGAAAATCCGGCTGATCTGCTCACAAGAGGGGTGACACCCGAAGCACTCAAGTCGAGTGCGGCATGGTGGAACGGACCGCCATGGCTCACAGAGCCACCTGCTGCCTGGCCAACGCATGAAGCAGGTGTTGATATGACCGCGGCTGATGAAGAGAAGAAACAAGTTCGAGTCCATAGCGTGACACTGAAAGAAGAACAGGTTTTGCCTATGCAGCGCCACAGTTCCCTCTCGAAGCTTGTTCGAGTTGTTGCCTGGATACGACGATTTATACATAACTCTAGACATCCCAGCCAAAAACAGGAGGGTTATTTGACGACCGAAGAGGTAGCACAGGCTCAAACGTGCCTGATCCTGCAGGTTCAACAGGAGGCGTTTCAGAGAGAGCTCCAATGCGTTCGACGCTCAGCACGCATGGAAAGCAACTCTCCGTTACGGGACTTAAACGCATACCTGGACAAGGACGGGGTGCTGAGGGTCGGAGGACGCCTCAGTAACGCTGACATGTGTGACAATGCAAAGCATCCCATCATTCTTCCATCAAGTCATCATTTTACCGAGCTTTTAACCAATGCCACGCATCGACGACTTCTCCACGCTGGCCCCCTTGAGACTCTGACAGAACTGCGGGAACAGTTCTGGGTCGTTCGAGGAAGACAGATGGTAAAAAGGGTGCTGAAGAAATGTGTGATCTGTGACCGTGTCAACAGCCGAGCGGCCACCGAGCCAGTTGCTCCACTCCCTCGAGACAGAGTAACCCAAGCGGACCCCTTTGAGGTGACTGGTGTGGACTTCGCGGGACCACTCAACACAAGGAATAAAGGCAACGACAAGAAGTCTTACATCCTCATTTTCACCTGTGCCGTTACCCGTGCCATTCACCTCGAACTAGTGACCGACATGTCCACCCCCCATTTTCTGATGGCCTTCAGACGATTTGTGTCAAGAAGAGGAGTGTGCAGAGTCATCTTTTCTGACAATGCAAAAACGTTTCAGCGTGCTTCAAGGGACCTGAATAAACTGTAGACCACGTTGCGTGGAGAGGAGATAAAGGCCTACTTCGCTGATCGGCAGATACAGTGGAAGTTTATAATTGAGAGAGCTGCCTGGTGGGGTGGGTTCTGGGAAAGGATGGTCCGGTCGGTGAAATCCTCGCTCAAGAAAGTTTTGGGTAACAGCTACTGCAACTTCGAAGAGCTGACGACCATCTTAACTGAAATTGAGGGTGTTATTAACTCAAGACCTCTGACATACGTCTACACCGAAGCCACCGAAAAGGAACCACTCACCCCTTCCCATTTTCTGGTGGGAAAGCGTTTAACTGCACTTCCGACCAGCTCCAGCGTGGAGCCTGTGCCTCCCCTTGAAGGACAATACAACAGGCGGTGGCGTTACCGTCAAAGGATGGCAGATCAATTTTGGCGTAGATGGAAGAGGGAATACTTGACCAGTCTGCGTTCTGCTCATTTCACGGTGCCGACTTCCTCCAGTGCCCTGAAGAAAGGAACTCTAGTGTTGGTTCACCAACATCTCCAACCTCGACAACTTTGGAAGACGGGAGAAGTCGTAGAAGCATTGACCGGACGAGACGGGCACATACGAGCTGCTATGGTGCGTCTTCCTAATGGTACCATTGTTAGGAGACCCGTACAACTTTTATACCCCATGGAATCTATTTATTAATGACTTGACGTCATTGTGGGGGAGTGTGAAGAAACTCAATTTTCGTTTTCTTGTATAGCCATCGCACCTGACGCAATCCCAATAAACATCGTCATCTTCTGTTTTGGTTTTGTCAAAACATGGCGTACGGCTCGTTCCTCGCGGCGGAGTTCTAACATGGCCATCTACCGTAAATGCTTTCGCCTGTCGTTTTTTCTTTTCTTTTTTTTTTTTATTGCGAAAGCATGAACTGTTTCATGGAGTGAAGCGCCGTTATCAGCTTTTGAAGCCGCGCGAAACGGCACCTAAATACCTCTATTTTGTGGCGCGAAGCATGTAGTCTGTAGTAGCGAATTGATAGATAAATTCCCATTGGCTGGCGAAGGTCAAAGTTTCAAGGAACGCCACCCTGCAGAGAAGCCTTGCCCAAGGCTCAACGGCTCGGCCGTTAGTAGGAGTAGAGGGTGGCCGGGTTCTGCAGAGCGGCCAAGCCCAGAGCCCACCCGTGCAGCATCCGCAGAGGTGGACCGACCGGGCTCAGCGCGGCGCGCAGCTTGTAGGAGTAGCTTGTAGGAATACGCTAGTCGATGCCATCAGTCAAATATTCTGTTCGCATTAAAATGTATTGTGTCGATGCCATCAGCCAATTTTGCAGCAGTCAACGGTGTGCAGGACCAGTGTGAGCACAAAAAGCAAGTATACAAAAAATATTCAAACTGACATGAGCTAAGCATTACAATCAAAATAATTAATATCAACGTCATCAAAAGTTCAAATAAAAATTATTCAGAATTAGATCATTAAGATCGCATTCATTAACATAAAATGTCAGCGTTAATGTAAAATTCTCCATTTCTGTTGCATTCAAACAGAGAATATATTTAAAGATTCATGAAATACATTGATATACTTTTACATCATGATATTAATAGATATAATTATTAATAAAAACATTAAAAGCACCCTAATAAAAACATTTGGAAATCTGCTACCCGCTCGCGGAACAATTTTTAGCATTACGTCACTGGGGCTAAAAAATACGCTTTACTCTTTCTTCCAACATGCGGATTCTTCGGCTTTGGCTTTTTCAATAGCATTTGGGTGGTTATTGACAAGGATCAAATAGTTGGTAATCAAGTTTAATAAACAATCATCAACATGAGGAGTTATATAGAGCGCTCCTCTGAACACCCCTCCTGAAAGAAAGTACGCTACTGCTTGCATGCTGCATGGTTTTCGCTTGACTGCTTTAACCGGTGACAATAAACGCACTAAAAGAAGTCAAGCTCCGTGTCGTAGTTTGTTTTCGCTCTGCTTGATTGGCCTCATTGACCTGTTATGTCGGCGGCTCTTTGACGTAGAGCGAAAATCAATTAAAACTTTTATGTCGTCGAAAAGTGCTTACATTCACAAAATTCTTACAAAGCGTGTCTTATTTGTGGTCTTTACATTTGATGACACTCTTCACTAATTGGTTGAATGAGATTTTAAGTCTTGAATAGTTGAAGCCATAGCTACTAGCTCATGAGCTTCTAACGAAATCGCTTTTGCCAACCCTGCAGCGCGGGACAAAGCCAGTGTCACAGAACAAATTTTGCCGAGCTTGGCGCTCTCGCTCGGGAAGATGAGCTAGATGGACTTCGCTTCTGGGCGAACTGCGCATTGCCTGCACCACTGGCACGTTTGCTGGCATATGTGTCAGCGGGAGCACGACCTGAGCGCTGAAGGTGCACGGGCGAGCAGGAGAAAGGAGGAAATTAAAAGCAGAGGAAGAACATAACTTCCACGAGCCAGTTTTCTGGCACACAAAAGCCCCTTTATTCTGAGAAAAGTGGCTCCATTTGTTGTTGTAGAGATGGTCGAGACAGTGCCGCGTGCCACTTTTAGGAAGAACATGGCGTCTGCAATCTAGCTCAATGCTGCGCTGTCCCGCCATGATCTCCCCAAGGGCTGCACGTTGTAGGTGCTTCGTGCATCGACGCACCTTGCGCTACTTTTGAAGCATGAAGGGGCTTTTGCCCACATGGATCAGTGTCGCTATCTAGTGGTTCAAGTAATGGCTTGTTCAAGATGGCCGGGGAAGAACAACAACTCTCTTTGTCTACAGTATACGCCCACACTGGTTGGTGAGGGCGTGGAGTTTATTTTTTTTCCCTCGCGTGCTCTTTTAAGAAGTAGATGCCAGACAAAACCACGTTGTCGCGCAGGTAGATTTGACAGAGTTCGACGCAATCCTGGTTACCATAGCACAAGACAGTTAACTTTATGTACGGATATAATAACAAATTTCCTCCTATAATAAAATCTAAGGTGCAAATGCCTTTGGCGCAGTGTCTACGACCAGGCAATTGTGAAGTCTTGACCAAGGGGTGCTCCAACATCGGGTAAAATCAGCATCTAGAAAAAAAGAGAAAGCAGGGCAAGTTCCCGTAAAAGTGGTTTGGAGGCAAAATAAGAAAAAAAAAACCATTGTCACTACAAATACGAAAGCCCCCCCCCCCCCCTCCCGGGGGGGGGGGGAGGGGGGGGGAGGGGGGGCAGTTGGAGGGAAACTTATCCTACCCCCGGATATAAAAACAGAAATTCTAGTCAAAAATTCAGTGAGGTGAAAATTACCCAATACTCCATCGCCGTCGTATTCCCTCTAGCTCCCACTCTTTTTTCTATCAGCACAAACTATTTTTCTAGATCAATATATATATCGAGTCTCGCCATTCGCCGTGCTTCTTTCGTAGATTGCAGCGACTGGATCTCCCAGCTGCTTTACCGGGATACACACTTGGAGCCTGCCTACATTTGCACACACTCGTTCCTAGTCATAATGATATTTAGTGGCACTAATGGCCTTCCCTTTGTGAAACAAAACACCGCTTATCAAGGAAACTGCTGGTCGCTTGTTAACGTAGTCCTGAGCTTAGAAATTCCGGCCGGTTTCGAAGAGGGAATGGAGAGAATATGTTTGCGTAACTGCTGCCAGCCCTCCACATTATCCAGAACACTGGATTTATTAGAGTGGCTGACAGCTCAAGGAGCGCAGAGCTTGTCTATACTCTGTTTCACCTTGTGTTGTACCGCAGGAAAGGCTACACGCGCGAGCTTCTTCCTCTAGGGCGCAGCTCGGTGGCACAGGCTCTCGTGCTCCAAGGGCAGCTGCCAACGCAATCAGCTCGCGGTTCTAGCCTTTGCTGCGGTACAACATGAGGTGAAACGGAGTATAGTCCTGAGCATTTTATTATCAATCCGGAGCCTGTAAGATGGCTACACCAGGCGATAAGAACCGCTATAAAAGAGAATCACTAAGCAAGAATAGTAATCAACACAAATCACGCCTAGAGTTTTTTAAATTCTCCGTTAAGTAGAGGGTGCTGCGTTTGCAGTCTTCCATCGACCCAGATATATACCAGATTTTTTTAGATATATATATATATATACGATATATTTTGTTTACTTTCAGGCCTTCGCCAAACAGGGGAGGGAGGGCCCGTTACAGCTACCGCTATATAAATATATATATATATATATATATATATATATATATATATTTATATAGCGGTAGCTGTTACGGGCCCTCCCTCCCCTGTTTCGCGACGGCCTGAAAGTAAACAAAATATCTCGCCGCTAAATTTGGCGGAAAAACCTATGCAACAATTTAGATTCCCCGCTAAGTTTCGCGAAAAAACTGACGTCACGTGACCTATTCACCAAATTCATTTCTCCGCTAAATTAGACGGAAAAAGTGATGTTGTGTTTCCTGATTTCACGGGACCTGCAAACAAATTCAAACTCCCCGCTAAATTTAACTGAAAAATTGACGTCAAGCCATCTATGTATGAAATATGTTTATACCCAAAATTTGGCGGAAAAATTCACATCAAGGGATTTATGCACCAATTAGGTTTCCCAGCTGGATTTGGTGCGAAAATTGATGTCACGTTTTTTGACGTTACGGTACCTAAAAATCAGTTGATATTCGCCCCTAAATTTTGTTAACAATTCGACATCACATATGACTTATGCACCAATTTATTCTCCTTACTAAATTTGACGTCGATACGATGATTATTATTTTGATATCATCCAATAAGCAACACCGCTACAGCTATGCTAACGCAGCACGCCGGGTAGTGCTCGTTTTGACGAAAACCTGACGGTGTCTTTTGTTTGTCAGCGCCGGGGAAAGAAGGAACGGAGGGGGGAGAAAATGACGCGAGCGAGGCACCCTTTGGTCCGCAACGCTGACAACAGCACGCGTCAAACTCTCCCTTTCTCCCAGGTGCTGACAAACTGACAGACAAAGCCGGATTTTCGTCAAAATGAACCCTTTCGTTTTCGCCAAAGTCACGCGCAGGGTTGGGCAGTACCGCGATACAAATGTATCGCGATATTATTTCAGAAATACATTTTGTATCTGTATTTCTGTATCGCGATACATTTTTTTCACCGGTATCTGGATTTCTGTATCGAAATACATTTTGAATTTTCCTTTGTATCGCGATACAATCAGGGTGAAATGTATTTCGTTACATTTCTTAAAAAATACTCCCCCCCCCCCCAAAAAAAAAAAAAAAATCCGAACGCTTTTTTTATTTTATTTTTGAGGTCACTAGGGTCAAGGAGATGCTGGGGCATTGTTTCCGTGCTGACCAAGGTTTCTTCCGATTCCCCAAACTATTTTTCTATGCGTCCTCTTCCCTCTTCTGAGAACTGTTGCGCAGTCGGGGACTCGAACTAGGTGGCGTGCCAGTAGTGGAGTCAGAGCATCTTGTGCCGAGGGTCCTTAGGTAGGGGTCACTTCAGTCATTGTTTGCGGGCATCCAAAACCCGCTGCTTACCGTCTCTCTTGCCTTAACGTGCACAGTACACCCATGCGGCGACGCTGAGTAACAGTCCGTTGCAGCACGAACCTGGCGGTGGTTGACTTGAAATAGTAGGATAACTCGCGCAGTGAAGTTCAACAGATATTTGAATGCGTCTGTGGCTGCGCCCGTAATATTGCACGGTTCAAGGGTACGTCATCAGTTGACGTGTAAGTAGCCCGCTGCTGTGGTGATCCGTAAAACCAGGACGGAGGTCAGACGTGGCCTCGCTGTGCCGACCCAGACTTCGTATACCTGCGACTCGTCTCGAGCACGCTGTTTCTCGGAGAGCTCGCACCTCTACCGGCAATATCAGGTCGCAATCCACGAGGTCCTTATTTGGAGTATGCAAGGCAAAACTTGATGACTGAAATCCAATGCGTCGGTGGCGGAGGGTCAGCAGGAAGCACTTTCACAACAGGGATGCCACCGTATAGTTTTTTCAACCGTTACAGAAGATAAGACATGTGTTCCAGGATGCTTCAGGTGGTCCACCATTCTCGAAAATCCTGCATAATCTTCAACGAGGTAAACTACAACGAAATTACATATTGTCCTTTCATACAGCAGCGCGTTAAAGTTTCATGTTCAAGGCCACACCTACAGATAAAGAATAGCAGTTCATTCCTCCGTGACGTCATGTGATAAATGTTGACAGGGGCGTCCTTATTTGACAAGGGCATGGTGACGTTTTGATGGGATTCAGGATGACAGAGAATTTATTTAGAGGTCTAAGTCTTTTCGCATCCCTCGTCAGACAACCAGGATGTCAGAGAAGGGACCACGGTCAGTCCGCGATGGAACGTTTTTCTGAGCCCATTAAAGAGTCCTCGTCGTCCGAAATCACTACCTTCAAGACAAAGTGCTAAGCCTACGGGAAAGAAATTTCAGGATCAAATACTTCCACTTCCAACTCCAAGCTTCATTTATTTTGGTCTCGAATAAATTGGAAAACTGTATTGCAGTATCAGTATTTCTGTATTTGTATTTCTGCCTTCCCTAAAATGTATTCTTGTATTTGTACTTCCAAATACTTTTTACCTATATTTAAAATGTATTTCCGATACGTATCGCGATACACTTTTACAGACATATTTCAGTATCAGTATTTTAGGTACTATTTTAAAGTATTCCAGTATTTGTATTTCCAAATACATTTTAGAGTATTTCTGCCCAACCCTGGACTCACGCGCACAGCTGGCGCAAAGCCAGAGAGGAGGGCAGGCCTCGGCGCGGTGGAATGCGGGTGTACCCAGTTGCCGCTCTGCTGTCGCCGGTTGCTCTTCGCTCTGGGTTTCCGTAGCTGCGGTCCGTGGCCTGTAATGTTTCTCTGTAGTTAAAATAATAACTTCTTTTCACGAGAATATATCCAAGGGTGCCGGCATACTCGGAGAGGCAAGGATAAAAAAAAAGGTAGAAAAAAATGACAGCAAAATCCATTGTTGGATTCTTAGGAAATGCGTTAGCATGACACTTGGGAAACACCAAAGACGTGTCCCTTTGGGAAACGCTAACACTCACCCAGTAACGAGGCCAAAAAGAGGCAGCAATAAATAGAGGAAGCAAACGAGAAAGTCCAAAACAGAAAGTCAGGACAGAAAAGTGAAGAGCCGGGCTTTAGCAATTTTCAAGAGGGGACGAGTGTGGGTTTTCCCAAGGGTGATGCTAACGCATTCGCCAATAATCCACCATTGAATTTACTTGTTTTGGTTTTGTTTGGCGTGATTAGTCCCGAGCTGAATAAAGCAGCCTTTTCCTAGAGATGGCAAGAAGTGTTGAGCTTTTCGGGTTATAAGTTAATTGCTCAAAAATAAGCGTGCAGACGATTAAATGAAGTCATTTTGTTCAGCCAAGCTTCCTGTAAAGGGATGGGCAGATCGAAATGCCGGCTTTCAGCGATAGATGCGCAAGGCGCCCTTTCCGCCATAGTCACTGCTTGCTATAAAAATGTAGGGCGTGGATCATTATGTGCACGATTAATCTCATTGGTCGAGGAGTGCCACGCCATGCCCTCCGCCACGCCCCGTCTTTATTCTTATGTCAGTAACTAAAACCGAACTAACTAATATGTCAAAAAATGTTTCAAAAATAATTGCTCATTGTTGCTGGCGATCACTTTGAATTTCGCGTTATTCAGTGTTAAAAAATACAGGACCGAGAAAAACGAATGAACGCTTATTAGGAATGAATATGCCCAGGGGCTCGAAGTTGCGGACACTACGCGAGGAAGTCGGGGAGATCGCCGAATATGTCGTCGAGTGTTCAACCAAGAGCCTCGGAGAGACGTCACTACGTACAGAGACAGAAAAAGGCAGACGTGCTCTCTCGCGGGAAGATTATTATTTTTTTTTATAATAAGGGGTCAATAGTCATTAGAGAGGTTTAGAATAGCGTACCTAAAAACTTTGCGTACACAAACGAATAGCTCGCCCCCACAACGCTTCCGCCAAACCCAAAATTCATTTTGGGTTGGCTCATGGTGAATATGGCATTTCTTTGCGGACGCAAATCATTTAGGTAGAATATTCAAAAACACGCCATTTATATTTTAAATGTAAAAAAAGAAGGCTGCCCCAGAATTCTACGGAACGGTATACAACGTTCGGCTCTCTTTTTAAAACCGGCAACCCATAGATTCGGAATTTTTATAAAAAATTCAGAATCGGCAGTTTTTTTTACCGACAAGTGTATTTTGGATTTAATCGCATTGATTTAAATACACTAAACCCTACATATGACCGAATATTTTTACTCCATGACATCGCATACCTCCTCTTCGGGACTGTATCTGAACTCAACGGCTCGTCCGCCGGTCAAGACGTTGTGGGGCGCTGTGGTGACTCCGTAGACGACGACGCTACCCCAGGTTAGTGCCTCGCGGTACCCTCGCTTGGAACTGCTTACGACCAGGACGTTCTAAAAAGAGTAATTGCATGGTTTCAATCAATGGCCTGTTCTCAACAACGTGAATAGTTTTTCCAAAGTAACTCCATACCTAGAAAAAAAAGAGCAAACAAAGAATCTACAACAATAAAGCGCCCGTTAACGCGGTGCAAGCAGGATGACTTTTATAGCCGGAAGGTTCTCATGTCCTATTTTTCAGCGTCATTGAAGAAATAATTACCTGCCCAAAAATGTTTTTTTTAGTGAAGGTTTATAGGAAATCTATGTTACAAATTTAAAAAAAGTAAAAAAACAGCGCAAGACTTACATCGCTAAAGACCTTTTCAGCCCTTATCACCTAGGCAAAAAACGTCGAGTCACTGAGATGTGGAAGCGTTCGAAGAGTCTGATACAGATGCTTTACACGCGCGCCAGATGACAGCCACCATTGCTGACTTTCTCTTGCCTTACAGAGATACCGAGCCACGGAAACGGGGTTCACGAGCCTCCACAAAGGCCAATGCTATAGAGAACACAATAGAATCTAATATGGCGATAACGTGGCCTGCTATGATTACGATGGAGTATACTTAGTAAGGGGGGGGGGGGAGAAGAAAAAAGGTATGACGAATTGTTAGGCAATTCGGTTGGACACGTGAAGCGTTCTAGCCTCACTAACGCTAAGCAATAGCTGCACCTCCTGATTTCAACGATAAGCAATAGATATCACATAAATTTCCCGATAGATATCGCGGGGAAGCTGAATCGGTTTGTAGGTCACGTGACACAAGTCCACATGACGTGTATTTCCCGCTAAATTTAGCAGGAAAACTGACTTTATGTATAGGTTACGTGACATAAAACCATGTGACGTCATTTTTGCCCCTAAATTTAGCGGCGCAACTTAATTGGTGTTGAGATCACGTGGCGTCAATTTTCTTTCTAAATTTACCGGGAAACTGAATTTGTGAATTGAATACGTCAGAGCCACTAAATGGGCTGCGCTTAGAGTATCGGCACTCGGTTCCCCGACATTGTTGTGGGCGCCTCCATTTTGGTGCTTGTGCAGAGCAGACGCAACTGCCGATCGTCAGGATCCAGAAGAGCGACTTCCTCAGCATTACATTCGGTGTTAGGAAGCTCATGCAAAATTACTTTGCTTTGTCGCGAACTGTTTAAACATTTGTGCAGAACGGAGAAGCGTTGCCTGTCATTTCAGATAAAGCCTTAGGTAATTGGCATCTCTCATTTTCAGACACAATATGGCCAAGTGTCGTTACTCTTAAACGTAGCTTATTTTGTCGCAGTAGGTTACGTGACACGAAGCCATGTAATGTAATTTTTCTTTCAAAATTTAGCGGGAAAATAGAAGTACCGTTAAAGTCACGTGACGTCAATTTTCCCACTAAATCTAGCGGGGAAACTTAATACGGCTTTACTTCACCCGGCTTCACTGAATCCGGGATAAGCAATTAAAGAATGTTTCACAATGAAAACTGAAGGCCGTGGAGGGTGCAACGCACCAAAAGATCCATCTCTCACATCAAAATAAAAGAGATGGCTCGCGTCTTGTAGAGCTCGTTAAAAACAAAAAGAATGCTGTGAAGCCGTCATCACAGGCATACACGTCGTTCGTTGTCTCTTTTCATGTCCTCACTTCAACTAACGCGGTAGGACCTCGCGGTCCTCCACATATTTGGCGACTCGATGGAGGTACTTGGACAACGGCAAACCACAAGAAGGAGCAGCTGGTCCCATCTCCCATCTCGTCAGTTGCAGTTCTTTTTCCGCTGTATTGGGACAGAAACCCGAGGGTTTGGTTCCCGCAGGCTGAATGCCAATTTCCTCTCAGCGGTCTGATGAGCCAGGAAAGCAAGTACCATCATGTCGCCTTGGCGCTGTTGATCCAAAAACCGACGAAGTATATAACATTCTTGCACACCCCTCGGCAAAGGCTTTCTACGACTAGCTGAAACAATCTCTCCTCCAGAGAACCAAGGCATCAAATCGTTCCCGCCTTTAAAAGCTTCTTTCAGCGAAAGAACATGGTGATCGACGTCCGTCCCAGCTGCTGAGGCGAATAACTCATGCTCCTTAGAGATCGCGCCAACAAGATTGGCAACGCTATGTTACGGGAGCTATTTATTCCGGGCCTCCCAATCAACGTCCAGTTGGTGCTTGCCATCACTACGGCTCTCGGCCTCACAGGCCTCGCAGCCCTGGCAGACGACTAACTGAAGTTGCCAATCCGTCCGTCGCCCGCGTTACATCGGCGGCAGAAAACGGTAGCGAAGCGATGCCTGCCCGCCACGTACGTCATCGTTTGACGGCAACGTCAAGAAGCTTTGCCAGCTTTTAAAATTTTAAAACAGAGTGTTACAGTGGCAACTCACCAGCGAGATCATCCGAATACTTAACAATGACGTGGACGTTTAACATCTTGTTGGAGAAATGCTTACCGCCCTTCCGTGGCCAATTCAGCGGATGTCCGCGTTTAGCATCGCCGCTTTGGCTCCGTCGTCCGACACTGCATTCGTCCCTGCTCTAGAGCAAACCGAGCGGCCGATCTCCAGACGCAACGAGTAGTCGGAGCCTACGAGGAAGTTGTTTTTTTTTACATCACCTACACTACAGGACTTCTGGAACCCGATATATCGTCGATCACGACACTGACATAAGCGGAGTTCCCGCAAAACGCGCGAATCGGTCACAAACCCCATCTACCACCTTCTGGTTGTGAACAACTGGTCGATCCCCGTCTACAAGGAGCGGTGAATAACCTTAAATATTGGCCTCAGGTAAGAATGTCGATGGGTATTTCAAAACGCAGACGGATGCAACGTCATCGTTGGTCCTGAGTTCCGCAACATCACAGTCTCCTCGTGAACATCAAGCAGAGACGTCTGCTCGACTCTACAATGCGACTCTCCGTAAAAGACGTCTCAACAACTGACACCGCAGGATTCGCACCGGTTCGCTGTAATATCAACGGGCAATTTCGATCTCCCCTGCAGGATTTTCAAGACTCACGGGAGCTCCTGACCGGACCAGACCGGTTTCGCACTATGTCCACCATCACATCGAAACAACTGGCGCATCGGTTCACTTCTGGCCTCGTCGTCCGGATCCAGAGAATCTCTGCATCGCTCGTGAATAATTTTTATCATATAATCGAGCTTGGAATTATCCGACCTTCGTCAAGCAGCTGGGCGTCTCCCCTACAAATGGTGTCTAAGAAGAACGGAGAAAGGAGACCGTGTGGGCGATTATCGCGCACTGAACAAGAGCACAGTGCCCGATAGATACTCCTCCCGAACATCTGAAACTTACTGTCAACCTCCAAGGCGCTACCATTGTTTCGAAAGTTAACCATACCCGCGCCTATCATCACGTCCCCGTCGCTGACGAAGATATTTCAAAGACATCCATTACAACTGACTTTGTTTTGTGTGAGTTCCTGCGGATGCATTTTCGCCTGAGTAGTGCGGCTCAAACGTTACAGAGATTTATCGACGCTGTCATGAACGGGCATCCCTTCGTATTCGCCTATATACGTTGACGACTTGTTCGTCGCTAGCTCAATACCGGAGGAGCACACCAATCACATCCTTCTACTTTTTCAAAGACTCTCAGATCACGGCATCATCACCAACGCCACAAAAAAAAAGAGTTCATAAGATCGCAACTTGAGTTGCTGGGGCACCAGCTGGACGGACACGGCACCAGACCTTTGCCGTCGAAAGTGCAAGTGATCAGATACATCCCAAGATATACCTTGATCACAAAGCGTCGTCAGTTCCTTGGCCTGGTAAATTTTTACCGCCGGATCATTCCGTAATGCACGATGCTAGTCCAACCCCTTGATTCGCTCCTGGCCAAGTCTGCATAGACCACCTCCAACACACCTTGGAGTGAAGACGCTTAGAGAGCATTCTGCGAAGTGTAGACTGCATATGTAGACGCTGTACATCTGCGATATCCAAAACACGATGCGAGAACCTCGATCATGCCCAATGTCTCAGCTACCGCTTTTGTGGCGGTCTTAAAACAACAGGTGGACAGTGAATGATAGCCCCTGGCTTTCTTTTCTAAGAAGTTAAAGCCCACCTAGACACGCTACAGTCTCTTTTGGAGACAGCTTTTCGCGGAATACATAGCCGTCCGGCAAACTCGACACTTTGTCGAAGGTCGCCCCTTCGTAATGTGGACGAACCATAAACCATTCACTTACGCCCATCCGCAACTCTAACTCCGTCTATACCCCTCGAGAGATCCGTCAGCTTGCCTTCTTCGCGGAGTTTACGACTGATATCCCTGACATCAAAGGGGACTCAAACGACGACGCTGATTTGCTGAGACGAATTGGCGCCCTACCTTCGCCTGCTCCGGAATTAGACATTACATTGCTGGCTGGTCATCAGGCATCCGACGAGGAGCTACAGCAGCTCCGCCCATCCGACCCCTCCCTTAAGCTAGAGAACGTTGAGTTCGATGGATGCATCACCATCGTCTTCGACACGTCCACAGGAGCGCATCGACCATTTGTTTCGGTTGCGCCACGAAGACAGCTTTTAATGCCATTCATTCGTTGCCGCAACCCGGCGTGAAGGCGACGCAGGAGCTTATGGCCAATCGCTACGTTTGAACTTGGCTCAAGTCCGACGTGCGTGACTTGGTACTAACCTACTTGGCATGTCAAAGAGCCAAGGTTCCCCTTCACCCCTACCTGCATCCACAAGCTTCCTGCCACCAGATGCCCTTTTCGACAAGGTCCCCTTCGACCGTGTCGGGCTCCTTCAAACATATCATGGGCGAAGGTACATCCTTACGTGTATCGACCGCTTCCCAAGTTGGCCGGAAGCTACACCATTGCCCGACATCAGTTCAGCCATCACTGCCGAGGCATTCGTGTGTGCTGAGTGGTGCGCTTCGGATGCCCATCTGATTTCGTCACCGAGAGAGGGCGACAATTAAAATTCAACTTGTTCACCGAGTTTCTCCGAATCCTAGGCATGACAAGGTATTGGACAACTGCATACCAGCTGCAGTCAAAATGGCCTGGTTGAGCGTTTCCATCGCCACCTCAAGTACGCATCAATGGCCACTCTAATCCGAGCGAGTGAGTACAACAGCTGTCGCTCGTCGCGCTCGGGGTCCAAACGACTCTGAGGCAGGGGCCTTATTTTGCGCGTTTTTGGACTCCCAGGGCGACCAGGGAGAGGGACGTGATGTCAACAATGCTTTTTGAATGTTGATTGGTGGAGTCGCTGACGACAAACTTTTGCAGAAGACGAAGAAAAAGTGAGCGGAAATCGGTTAGCCGGAAAATGCGTCGTGTTCCTAAGATACGTCCATTCACACCTATGTCACTTCCTTCTTCCTAGTCGCCTTGGGGGTCCAAAAGCGCAACATAGGGCCCCTGAACCTCTGCTGTGCAACCCTAGAACTCGTCTATGGGAGGACCCTGCGACTAGAATTTGACTTTCTCGAGGTCAACCCCTCTGCAGCCACAAGGCCGGAAGACTACGCAATATTGGTGAAAGCATTGGAACTTTGATCAGTTCCCATGCGAGCCGTATCTGCGAAGGCACCTTACGTCTCTCAAGATTTGCACAGTACAACGTTTGTGTTGTGGCGCCAAACAGTCCATCGGGAACAGCTTTAACCATACTATATGGGACCGTCTCCGGTTCTGAAAATTCTCATGATTTGATCATGGATGTGATGAAGAAATAAACATTTATTTATTTATTTATTTATAAGCCAAGTGGATTTGTTGTACAGATTAACGGGTGACGAGATACCATCTCTCGACCGTCTAAAGGCATCTGAAGCAGGCATCCGTGAACCTTATGACATGTGAGACCACTGATCTTTATTATAGGGGGCTGGACGGCGCATTCAGCGAACAGGTATGAAGCCACCGAAAGTAAACTGCTTGTCCCGGAAGAAAGCGCATGTCAGGCTTTGTTATCCGCCAAATGTTGGTTCGAAAATCATCGAGGGCGCTGCATTATCGCCAGTGTTGGCGGTAACGCGTTACAAGTAACGGCCTTACCGGTAACGCGTTAATTTTCTGGTGACGAAGTAACGTACTCGTTCCTTTTCCAAAAAAGTAACGGGTACCGTACTTACGTTACTGATTTTGAGTAACGTATAACGAAATTACGTACGTTACTTTACTTCCTAGAACTTAAAAAAATGAAATTTTAATTTTTTTGTGTGTTTTTAAGTGCCCAGTCATAAATTCCTTCGTCCAAAAAATGCCGCTGTCCTCCACTCTTCTTGCCGCTGTCCTCCACTTCCACAGTCTCGGGTTTTCTACATTATGACTTTTCTTTGACGTCGGTGCTCGTCAGATTTGACGTCACACGCCACCTGCCACTGGTTTTCTCCCGCGGCTCGTTGACCTCGCTACTGCCGTCGCGTCGGCTGGAAGGCCAAAGAGGCCCGGCTTCTGGTGGATTTGGGAGATTCCTGCGTCGAAGCCTGCGTTTCGCTTCCCGCTGGGAAAGAGAGTGACACCTTCGTGTCATTCCCTTTCCCGTTTTCCGTGTTATAAATCAGCTTCATATATACTTTCGCGTTTTTTCTTGTAACCATTCGGGTGAAACCCTAAAAAAGAAAGGGTAATTAAGTTTCCCCATGGACATATTTTAGCTATGGCGCTTGCGCACATATCAAACGTCGAAACAGCAAATGTTTTAGTTCGTGAATAAAAACAAACGCAACAGTAACGTGCGTTACTTTTTATCAGTAACGGTAACGGTAACGCGTTCCTTTTATATTGAGGTAACGTAGGCCGGTAACGCGTTACATTTATTTGCAAGTAACGAGTAACGTATTTATTTACTTTTTTTCGGTAACGCATACAACACTGATTATCGCTTATCACCTCAAGAGAGCCTGCTTGCTTCGCAGCAAAAGCGCATGCAGACCCAAGAATATCATGGGAAGCCATCCAATGTAAACATTTTTAGAATTTATTTGATCAAGTGTGCATATGTTTCAAGTTGAAATGGTTCATTTTTGGGATTTAATTTGGAGCCAAATTATTAAGACCCACTCAAAGACACCGGAAAGCACGGATCAAAATATTGACTAAATGCACTAGAAAGCCCAGCAGACTTCCGACGTCCGGGAAATGCATCAAACGTCCGGTGGCTTCACTTGCGCCCTGCTGGGACAGCGACAATGCGCCATCCAGCCCACTATAATAGAGATCAGTGTGTGAAGCACGCGAGGAAAGGCCGAAATATGGGAACAGATCTGCTCAAGTTCAGTGAAAAAACGCATAACCACAACTAGCGCTCTAATTATATTTGTTTAATCGTTCGTTGGAGCTCCGCGGTAAGGTGGAGCCAATGAGCTATCTCTGCAGGGTTCATAGTCTTCTCAATACTTACAAAGCCTGGCAGTTCGACGACGGAGCCATAGAGTGCCAGGTGGCAGATTTGAAGCGCGAGGATCTGATGGCACTGTGCATTTTTCCAGAATTCTGGACGTCAGCGCAGAGTTTTTGCAGCGGCGAGGACACGAATCATGGTTTTCAAACCCGACGATAAAAGAAGCGGTATTGCGAGGAATGCGACGAGCACGAGTGGACATTCCATCGCTCGGGAGGAGTGCGTTTCGGCATCTCGCCGCAGCGGGGCGCCCGTCACGTGACTTTCCTCTCATTCGTTGTCTGCCGCTCTACCTTTTCAATTTTGGCGGCCGTTTCTCGTGGCGATCTGCCAGGCTTTGTCAGTATTGAGGACGCCACAGTAGGGTTCAACGCAGAGGATATCTGTAGGTCGCATCGCACGAGCAGGCCTATCATTCATATAAAAATTTTAAAAAAAGGTTTCTGGAGGCGCGGTACCCGCACGCGCCTCGGAGAGTTCGTAAAGATCAAAAAGAATGCTCTGAAGCCTCCATCACAGGCAGAAACGTTGTTGGTTGTCTTTTTCAATGTCCTCACTTTAAGCAACGTGGTAGGACCTCGAAGGTTCCCCACAGTTAGTTATGGCGGCGCCCACGCACAGCTGCTGCGAAGCATCTATACTGCACAATAGAGCAACAGCGCGTGGTCAGAAGGCGCCCCGCAGCCCAGCAGTCAAATATGGCTGCGCGCGCGAGTCCTCTTTTTGTTTGCAAGCAGCTTTGCTTCGAGGGCCAGTTTGGCGACCGTGGATAGAAAACGCTCTGGTTGGGCGCCAGTTTGGTAACCACGGGTTCGCAGCAGCGCTTGACTATCAGACGGTCTACCCCATAAAGTGGGAAGCTTCAAGAGGCGGCATGAGGCCCCCAGACGCGAAGCCGGAATGGAGGAGGGACGCGTTCCCTAAGATGATGAAAATCAGGTGACGCTATTGGACGAAAAGTCGAAACTCTCCCTTTCGTCCAATAGCGTCTCTTGGCTTGATCATCTTTGAGGGCGTGTCCCTCCACATTTCTGGCTTAAGCTCTGCGTGCCTCATGTCGCCTCCTAAAGCTTCCTGCACCCGTACAAGCAGGAAGATGGCGGCGCCTAGAAGCCCAGATTGAGGTCTATCGTGAGTAACAGTTTATGGAACGCAGGGCGTGTCGAGTTCCGAGCTTCTCAACATTCCTCGCTAAGCCAGAGTGATGAATTAGTCAATGAGAACGGCCGGAAAACACATAGCGAAGCAAGGAGTGCAAACATGATAAATCCCGTCCTGCCTTTCTTAAGTTGTCGGGACCATAAAATCACTGATTTATACCGAGCGCATCCGCCGCACGATCCGTGGGAGGCCAATCAAACAGCACCAAAGGAGCACCTCATGGCACTCACTGTCCGTGCGTTTGGTATAGCCGACTAAAACCAATCACGCGCAGGAAAGTCACAGCGATGGTGCACTTTTTTTGTGCGCGATTGGTTCAGCCGGTGATAGCAAACCCCACAATGATCGCCATGCCGGTGCCCTCTTCATGCTGCCTGATTGGCTCCATCGTATCGAACCCGATTTGAAGCATGTTTCGGTGTCGCTACTAACTGAAAATGAGCCTCGCGCCGTAAAGATATTGCAAAAAAATGTTTTTTTCTTCAAGAATGTGAATTTTTTTAGATTCCTGTCGTACCGAACATTTTTGGGAGCACAATGCCCGTCAAAATAACTGTTGGCTAGAAAATATTTTTAACCGAAATTCTTTATCTCCAATTACGCGAGAAAGCTTCCGCGCTGCCTCCAAAAGATGGTCCTAAAAACCAGTCATCAAGCACGCGCCGCTCAAGATCAAAACCCACGCGCCTCAGAAATCAAACACAAAGGAAAGCACATAACGCAGATGCTTCGTCAAGGAAGCCGTGAAGCTGGCGGGGGCGCCGCGCCCTGTGCAGTGGAGGAGCGTGATGTCACCGCCGGACATTATTACTTTCGCATTCCTACAGGAAAGCACTATTAAGTGTCTTGGACGTGTTTTCCTTTCTTTGTTCACGTCGATGTTGCGGATAGTTGGTGCTATAGGGACGTTTTTGCTGGTTATTTGGTTTTAAGTTATAATTCCGCACACAGACTGATTGACAAACAACGAAAACAACGACAACAGAGTAGATGTCTGGACTTACTTTGATGAGAATGAAATCGTAGAGGTCGTACTCGTCTTTGGTGACAGTGTCTGAAATATTTAGAGGAAATTAGAAGGCTTGGCAAGCATTCACGTTTCAGATAATTCGTCGAGCTATTTCCAGTCGCTTGACGGCGTATCAACGAGGTAAGCTTTTACTGGCGTTTACTTTGCTGTTTCAGAATTTTCAATCACTTAAAGAAATGATACTAGATCATAAAAAATAGATAGAAGAAACAAATTAGTAAGAGCTTATAAAAGTTCTGTGTATTTTTCACCGTACTATGCTTTACTCCTTCCAACAAAAGTAATCGCCCCCCCTCTTCTTTTACACACCAATAAACACAATGCCCAGTTAGTTTTATTCCTTTTCTGTAGGCATATTCAATAAATTCACGGGTAATCTTTTCTCCATCCTTTTCTTGCTCGATTCGCACTTTTAATAAGAAAGGAAATATATCTTGTTCGTAAATCATTACTGGTTGCATTTACGCACACTATAAAAAATATAGTCTTCCTTATTATTGCCGTCGGCCAAGCACGCAGCTGAATCCACCGACTGAGAAAATATTGTTTCTCATGTTTCTTTGTAGTCAAAGATGGGCAATACTGGGGTATTCTGAGAAACGATTGTTAAGGAAGACCTGAGCTTTGTTTATCTCCATCGAACCACGGCTAGCCGTGTACACCGCGTACCTCTACCTCGCACCTCACAGAGGCCTACCTCGCCGTACTCTTTGCGGATTGAATCTGGTGTGGATGTGATTCAGCAGGTATAATTTTCTTTTCATGGCCTGATGTGACGATGGGGTATCTAAAGCTAAAGCAACCCGCGTCGCAGGAATAAAAGTGAAAGAAGATGACTTAAGAATAGTAGAAAGAACAGAATTACACTCTGAAAGACCGATGCTAACTCTGGTGCTGGTGTTTCTCGAAGACCATTAGAGGGACCATGAAACGAATTTCGGGCTGGGATGAATAATTTTAAATTGAAACTTTACTAATCGCTTATCATTTAGTTGGCCAAAAAAAAAGAGGGTAGAAAGTCTAAAGCCATCTTTTCGGTACGAACATTTGAAAATATGGCGGACCTATTTTGTACCTTCTTTCCAGTATTCGGTAAGTTACTTTTAAAAAGTAATTTGTTACAGTTACAGTTACTTCCAGAAAAAAGTAGCGAAGTTACCGTTACAGTTACCGCAACAAAAGAATAACTCGTTACTGTTACAGTTGCTTTTAAAAAGTAACGACGTTACTCTTCAGTTACTTTTCTATAACACAAAAAAATTAGGAAAAACTAGAGTACGCCTCTCACCAAGTTTTACTGCCTAAAATTGAAAAGTACGCTTTTTACTTCATACTGTAACTTAGCAGAAGTTGCTTCTCGAAATTAGTGTTTGAAAATTTCCCCGTTAGAGTACTGGCGCTAATCAAAATACGAAACATGCGCAGTGCCCTCCGCGTGTATTGTTGTTTCACGGTTGATTCACCCGATTAAAAAGCGTTTTCACAGAAAAAAGAAAAACCACAACATAGATAGTGCTTCAAGACACTAAGATGTAAATGTTGTCACAAAGTAGAAGCGCGTGTGTAAAGATAACTAGATTTTTTTCATAAAATTTACACATGGCTATATTCGGGTCGTGACTCGTGAGGAGAAAGAACGTATTCACAAGTTTGTGCAAGGGCAACTTGACACTCGAAATGTCAGAATAGACGACTTGAAAAGTGCAAGGAATGTCTAAATTGTACTCGTTCAATGATATATTATTCATAAAACACTGGAAAGTAACGACAAAAGTAACGTCGTTACTTTCATCGTTACCTCAGACAAAAATAATAGAACTCCAGTTACAAGTTACATTTTAAAAAAGTAACTCTTTACAGTTACAAGTTACCAAAAAAGTAACAAAATTACAGTAACGCGTTACTAGTAACGCGTTACTACCCAAGACTGCTTCTTTCCTTTAAAAGCTCTCCGCCTTTTCACTATCATACATCCGCGGTTCCCAAAGCGCGTCAGCGAGGCCATCCTGACGTCAGCCGAGCCCAGCTCGCGCACTGGACAAGAGAACTCCGTCACTCGGACGTATACGCTCGTCAACAATCAATCCGTGGACGAATATTTGGATTCGCGCTCGTGGCGAATGAGTGCCCTGACGGAACTTATCGTCACCGAGGAAAGACAAGTTTTATGGTGTGCATAAAAAACACGGTGGAAGCTAGGAGTCATCGCACCGGTGCCGAAGAATGTGCCCTATTGAAAATCGCTCTGATGGGACTTCAGGAATTTTTTAAAGGGTGTGAAGGGGACTTCAGGAATTTCTGAGATGTTTGAAGGGGGCACCGATATTTCCTGGTGGGTTCACTGGCCCCGTCAGAGGCTCACCTGAAATGTCTGAAGTGCCCTTTACAATGCCTTTAAATGTCTGAAAGCCTGTCAAGAACTTTCTAATGGGGTCGGGAAAACATTCAGCATTCTTGAGATGCCTGTGGGCCATGGCCTAGGTGGAGAAAACACATTTTGCAGAATTAATGAACATAGCTGCTTATTGTACGCTAAGGAGGAAAAATAAGTATTTGGAGAATGCCGATCGTGTGTGTGTACGGTCAGATTTTTATTACTGCTCTTTTATCAAGTACTAGTGGGCTCCTGGACCCGTTTGTCAGTGCCCGGGTGTTCGGTCGCCAAAAGAGGCCACTGAGGGCGACAGCCCCATGTGGAGAAATGACGAGCCGCGGGCCGAGTGGTGTTGGCCGAGCGGCGTTTTGAGGCGACTGCAATCCTGTCCGCTCGAGGTGAAATCCGTGCAACTATGTATAAAAAAGAACAAGAAAAAAAAACGCAAGCCGAGAGCTATGCCCGCATTCCAGGAACAGGGACACACGCGGGAGCGACTCGTTCCGAGAACCGGTCCCTCCACTGGGGACTGTCTCCAAAAAGCAATCGCCTTTGTCCGCCCGGCGATGGGGAGAGGGTGCAGGGCTTCCAGGCCAGCGGCGGGGGGGGGATGGGGGGGTGGGGGGTGTACGCAAGCGGGGGAGGCCATAGCCATTTTCTCTCTGCTCGTGCGCGGTTCCGGTTATTCCACGAGCCAGGATGTTTGGAGCGGACCTATTTCCTCCAGGAAGGTGAGCATGCATGGTTTTGAGGGCTCGCCCCTTGGTTTGTTTTGATCCGTGCAGTTTCTTTCTTGGTACCGCAGGTGAACCATAGTTCGGCGCAGGCCGTCTTCAGCACCGTTCGAGCGCCATTGTGTTCAGCGCATTCAAGGAGATGGTGGCCGGTGTCGGCTTACTCGCTGTAAAGCCTGGCAGTCGGGGTCAGCGTCCCACCGCATGTTGTGCGTGCGCACCGGGTTTATGGCACTGTGTGTGTTGAGACGGTGGATGACGGCCGCTGTCCGGACATGCTCCTTGCGCCTCTTCGTCCGTCCGACTTCAGACCAGCGACGAAAAATACGCCGAAGACGCCGGCGCGATGTCATCATGGACGAAACCGTGACTGTGCTCGGGATTTCTCAACGGCGGCGGGTGCTGCTTACGAGTTCGTGGTTTTCGCTAAACGTGCTTACTGAGGCTGTGTATGTGTCCGTGAGGTGCACCTGCTCGGTTTTATCAGCTGAACTGCCGTACATCAGGAATATACCCAGCGGCATTGTGAGTACTTTGAAAGGCATTTTTCTTTGTGATAAAGAAGTCAGTTGTCCCAGTTTGATGTGATCTCTTTCGTCTACAGCTCCTTGCGCCGGGTTTGCACCAAGCGTTGCTTTTTATCACCTTTTTGAGTTATAATATGCATGTAAAACTAAATGTCGGCAATAAATTTTCAATGTTTTGACCTGCATTTTTGTCTATGGTTCACAGTCATTTGGACGTCTAAAGGGTTGATTGGCTTAAGGGTCTGACGGGTTGAAGGGCTGTGAGGCTAAAGGGTTTTTCTATGGGGTATCCTTGAAGGGTTTTGAAGGCCTGTGAGCTCCCCTAATCCTTCATAGCTGACGGGTTCTTTAGAAATATTTTCATTAGGGTGACGATGACGTGCGCCGATCGGCGTTGAGATAAGCTTTCTGGTAAGACGTGGCTCGCTTTGGCGTTTAATGTTTATGGTCTAATAAAGTCGCGAGATTAAAGCTACACGGATAGCAAGTTGCCTGCTTCTTGCGCAGCAGCTGCGGTGACATCAGAATGACGCCGAGCTGTGATTCGCTTTTATTGAAAGGATAGTGGCTAAACCTCAATGATAGACACCTTAAAGTCTACCCACTATAGTTTTTTTTTCCTAATTAGCCTGGAATACCTCGACATACTGACATCATTGCAAACTTTGCGCAAAAAGCAGACGAACGTGGGCTTCGCATAGGCCTCCTCTGCTGAAGCTGTAAACGAACTGTGGCGCCCTCATTTTCGGTGGTACAAGCACTCCCAATTGGACCTCGCACTACTTATTGCACTTTCGCTGAGAGTTTTGTCTTTCTTGGTAGTGCTGAAAAACTGAAAATCAACTTTCGAGATCCCAAATGGGTTGGATTGAACGCCGCAAGGCCATCGAAAATGCCAGATTTATGACACCAGCTCCGGGGTACGCGCCTCTCATCTCTGGGTGGTGACGTAAAAACATCGGGCGTCGTGATGCTTATATATATATATATTCTTTTCTACTTTAGAACGCGTGACTTGGCGTGTCTAGGCTCACATTTTTAGAGCCTTAGCTTTGGCCTGTGCTACAACGGCGTTCCTCTTGATCTCGCGTTGTTTTCCTCGCGATCTTGTGTTTCACAACAGAGCAGGCACGCTTATACATATATGGCATTTTGAGAGGGTCAAGTGTTTATTGCCATTGATACTACCCAAAACTAAATCCCCTTTCATGTTTTAACAGTATCGCAATATGCGTCGATGCACAAGGCACCTGCAACATGCTGCTTTTGGGAAGATCATGGCGGCACAGCGCCGCACTGAGCTAGACTTCAGAAACTATGTTCTTGCCCGAAATGACGCGCGGCACGTGTCACGGGCATTTGCACAACAATGAATGGCGCCACTTTTCC